ACAGTTATTATGACTGATTAAATAAAGAGACTATAAAATAAAAGATTGGTCTAAACCAAGCTTGAGACAGAGCCTTTTTTACCTGGTATAATTCATATCTTCCTTCTGGGAAGTGACTGGCAAGATCTGTAAGTTTTCTGGGAAACCAGTTACCCACCCACCCAGCTGACTGTCAGAACCTTTAACCAGTGATTCTTTTTGTATCTAGCCTAACAATAATAATCTGGCCTTTATATTTTCCTATAAAATAGCCCAACCTAAAAATGAAGAACTTCTGAATTGGCCTTCTAGGGTCCTGCCCCTTGCACACAAGATTGTAAAGAAACTTTAACACACAACTAGTCTGAAAAGTCTTCTTTCACTCATCTATGAAAAAATTGAAATGAACAGATTACTGAGTGTGACCGACGTTGTGTAAAGAGGTGAGGCCACTGGGAAATGTGGGGAAGATCAGCAAGAGATTCAAAGAAAGCCCAACCAAGAAAAGCAAGACAAGGAAGAGAAAATAATGAGGGAAGCAAAAGGAAATGCAGACAGAGTGCATACCCAGTGCCAGGTGGTGGTAACTTCTGCACATGCGTGATGACGCAGACCGAGTGAAGTCCAGAGCACGGCTGTACTGGGAGATGGGGAGGGAAGCGGTGGGGTAGTCAGGGAGAGCTCGGTCCAAACCTGCCGGAGAGGAAGTCAACAGGCCAGGTCCAAGATGAGTCAGAAAGAGCAGTGCATGCATTTATGAATTCACATAAACATGGAGACTGTGAACTTGGAAGAAAGCGTTAAAGGAATGGAAAATGATCACCTCTGAGAGGCCTAGAGCAGTTAGAAGCCGTTTAGTTCAATGAACTTTTTTTTTTTTTTTTTTGTCTTTTTCCGTGTCCGGCAACGGATCGCAACCCTCAGTGTTGCCCCCGCACCAGACCGGGGACCGGCAACGGGATCGCAACCCTCGGTGCCGCTCCCGCGCCTCGCTCAGCCAGTGAGCGGGAACCGGTCCAAGTTCAATGAACTTTTAAACTAGTGCATGTTTTACTTTAGGAAAAAACTTAAAAAGAAACGCCAAGTTAGAGAAAGTGAAGCCTTTATTTCATTTTGACATCTAAGTATCTCCGTTTTATATTCCCCGTTAACTTTCAAAGGGGTGAAGTATTTTGGAATAAAGACGGTACATCAGTGAAGGGGACTGAGATGTGCCTGAGGATTTATGGGGGGCTTCACCCATTAACTAACCCAGATATAAAATGACAACCGACAAAAGTTTTCAGATAGACTCATGCCAGAAGTTTGACTTTAGGAAATCTCAATGGGGACAGCCCTGCACAGAAGGTGGGATATGGCTCACAGAGCTGCTGGGGGACACCAACACTAGAAACCCAAGTCTTGGTTTTGTTAACAAGGGATTTGTTGTTGAAAGAAAGTAGTCTCATTTTAATTCAATGATCTAAATGTCCTGCTGATTGTGGCTGCAGTTCAAGCAGTTCTAACCTGGTACAGTGTGACCATTATATAATTCTCACAGCTGACAGTCTGGGGACATGTGACCTTCCAGTAACTTACATGGATCTATTTTCATTACATTTGCAATAAAAGAACTAGTTTGCTACTAGAGCTGTATAACTGAGCTGAAAAAAGATCAGAACAGATCATTGTTTTAAATGCATTACGTGTAAACATGTAAAACCCAAATGGGCTTCTTACTTGTAAAGATTATAGGACAATATACTTTTAGTAGTCTTCTTGATAACAATTTTAAAAACACTCTTTGTTGAAAAATCAAATAAGTACAGGCTTCCCTCCCTCAAGGAGGCAGTGCAGAGGTGGACACAGACAGGAAAACAATTATAACACAGCAGGATGGAATCCCCGATGGAGATGTGCACCCTGAGACAGGCGATCTCTGGCCTCAGCAACACAGCGAAGGGCACGGGGTCTTTATGTGAAAGTCCGCTGTTCCGGGAACTTTACCTGTCATGTCCAAATGTCTTTTTCCACATCACTCCCTCAGGACATGTGGTCCGACACAAGCCAAGAGTGAGCCTCCTAAAGCTGCCGAAGAGAAAGATAATGGTC